GTTTGCTCCCTGTGAGTGAACTGACACCAGAACCTGTGAACCCGACCCGGTCACATGGCGTGGGTGCAGCAGAACCCTCATCACCTCTGATGGAGCAGAGGACGTCTCAGACGGTCCTCCACAGACTGCTGCTGGGTTTGGACCGAGAACGTGAACAAACAGCTTCAGACGGCAGGTTTCAGCTGCATGTGGTGGAGCCACATGAAGGCACCGAGCGCCTTTGATCTGATCTCAGAGCAGATCATCTACCAGATTATCTGCTGAACTGCACTCCTGTGGATGAAACCAGCAATCGTACATCGTGTGTTTAACCACCTTAACCAACTTTACTGTAGACGGCTTTTCTGTATTTTAGGAGCTTCTAAGCGACCAAAGTGACCGTCGGTCCTCACGCCCTGCAGGCTGCACTGCTGGACCAACTTCCCTTCAGTGTTTCACAGCCTGCACATTAAACAGCTGATGGCGCATTCATGAACTGAAAGCGGCTTCGAGTGTCACTGTGGACACAAAAGGGGAAACTGAACTCGTCACAAAGGAAACTCCCACAGAGTTCTCGGCAGTGTTCACAGGGAGCTGACTGACAAGAAGGAAGAAATGGCGACGAGCAGACAAAGGAGCAGCAGCGTTCGACGGCCGAGGTAGGTGAGCCGCAGCTTTAGCCTCGTGTACCTGTCCGTGTTGTGGTGGTGACCAGGGCAGTGGGGCTGAAGCTCTGCTGATCAGAAGCTCTGCTGATCACTGCCTCTGTGCTGGTCCATCAGGGAGTTCATGTCTTCTGTGGTCTGTGGGAGGTCAGCTTCACCAGTCACATTTAATGTCATGGTACAACTGAAGAGTTCATTTGCAAAACCAGACACCTCCATCTTCACAAACCTTCATAAAGCCGGTGTTCCATGGTCTACCTGAGACAACATCCAGCTTCAGTTATCTCTACTTTGTCATTTCCACTGAGTCTGATCCACTCAGCTTCAGTCCGACTGACATCATCTCCAGCAAACAACAACAAAATAAGTTTAATGAAAATCTGTTTCTACAAATGAACTCCTCAGTTATTTATTGGAGAGCAGGAATCCAGAACCCACTGGACTGCCTGTTCTTCATGAAGTGCTGGATGGTTTCTGTCGCTCCAGATGCAGCAGAGCAGCTGGATGTTAAACTAGCCTTTGACTTGTCGCAGCGCGGCGGTTTCATGTCAGCATCACATACAGTAAACGGTTCAGAACTGGTGCTGGAGTTCCACGTTGTCCTGCCGGGTTTCCCCCAGACCCGCTGTAGCTGTAAACAGCACCAGTGATGCCTCAGCGAGCCAGAATTTCCCCTCTGCTGTTTTACAGAACCAGACGGCAGCTGTTGATTTGAACCTTCTGTTTAAACCAAATGATGGTTTTGTGTTGATTCTACGTTCTAACTTTACTTTAGTTTAAGCTCTGTGCATTCACTGTATATGAGAAAATTACTTCAAGTTAAACTAGTAGCATTTAGATATTATTGTTATATTATGAAAATATATGAATTACATAAAACTACCATTGGAAGAGAATGTTTTTAACAGCAAGATAGAAAATAGAGAAATGGAAACAAAACAGGGTTTAAAATAACACTGATGTCCAGCTTAAAGCTGCACTTCTCCTTAATCACCTCAGAAATGGTCAAAATCTAACGATGTTTTCTAAGATAGCAGAAGAAGATGCATACTATATATAAATATATATAAAACAAATTTCATGTCTTAATAATTTGGTTTCCAGTTATTTGAGTGACTGCTGTGGATTAGTCTTTGCTGTGAGCAGGACGGCTGCTTTACGCTGGTCGCTGTGTTCTGTCAGGAGTTCATGGCTTCTCTCATTTCGTGAGTTTTGCTTTGAGACACCAGAAAACCAGCTTCTTTCTCTGAACTCTACGTCCTGGTATCTGGTGTTTCATGCTGATGCGTGTAATCCCCAGAGTGCTTCTTCTTCTTCTTTTTCTCAGCGTCCATCACATGTGAGAGGGAGATAAGAGCCGGCGGATGTGTGGCGACAGACAGGAAGACGGCCGGCTCTGTGGTTTCTACACTATTTCTAGTGAATGGACTCATCCTGCGCTCACACCAACACCGACCTCTCTGTCACCAGCAGACCTCCTGATGCTGTCAACAGTCGCCATCATACCAGCAACGATGCGGCGCTTCTGGGTTCTTCTGCTTTGGTCAGCGCTGCCTAATGCGGTTCTGTTCTCCGGTCCAGAGTTCTGTCCCATCAACGACAGCAGCGGCTCGCAGAGCAGTAAGTGTTCAGCCTTTCAAACCAGTACGGTCGTTACAGTGAGTCTTCTGCTCCACCAGAACATCTACTGCATGTATCTGACACATGCTACAGTCAAGCTGCTAATAATCATTTTATAAGCAGAAGATTTGATGTGATGAATTGTCTGATACTAAAACCAGTCCTTTCATATCCTGGAGTTACTGCCTCATGCTGTCAGGACGCAGACGCTTTGTTCTAAAAGACAGTTTGAAGCTGCGTCACGTCTTCAGACAAACGTTTGGGGAATTAAACATGAAGCGGTTCACTAAACTGAGCACATGAAGGCTTCAGTGTTAATAATCCTAAAATACACTCCTGCAGCGCTGAAAAAGCAGAATAACAAGTTCTCGTCTTGCAGTTGTGTCTTGTTGTCTTACTTCCTTTTCTTCAGTAATGCTGTTTGTTTGCGACACACTTTATATTCAGCGCAGACCAACAGCCGTTCAGAGCAAGTCAGTGACCGATTCTTTCAAAATAAATGTCTCCTCCGTCAGTGTCTCCGGCGCTGGAGTCCGTACGATGCCACAACGACTACGAGTCCCACGTCCTCTGCAGGTGGAGGAAGCACAAAGACACCACTCTGGAGCTCTGGTTCCAGACGGAGGACGGCAGGTAAAAGCCGAGGCAGGACAGGTGAGCAGGTGTTTATTGTGCGTCCTACAGCTGTGTGTGTGCTTGCAGGGCGCTGTGTGAGCCCGACCAGGCTGCAGGTCCAGCTGAAGGCAGAACCGCCCACTGTAGATACGATACGCGGCTGTTTGGCATCAGCGTCAGTCACACCGTCTTCTTCCTGCAGAACGAGACGCTGAGCGACTGCTCTTCTGTCAGACACACGACTCTGGATCTTTTCCAGCGCTGTGAGTTCAGCCCTCAGTCACTGCTGCTTCCTGCACTGTCATCATCTGCATGGATGCTCGTTCACACGGCCTGATGCTTGTGCTTCACAGTGAGAGCTCGCCCGCCGGCCAACCTGTCCACACACCATGAGCGAGGCGGAGGCCGACGGATCCTCTGGTCCAGTCCCTACCCGTCCTCCTCCTCCCTGAACACCAACCTCACCTATCAGCTGAGCTACAGGACACACGGGCAGGACGGCTGGACCGTAAGCAGGACGCACAGCACCTCTATTTACTCAAACATCAGCTTTAATGAACATTTCAACAGTCAGAAGTCCAAACCAGCTGAGGCGTGCAGGTTTGACGGCTCTGTAGCACCACGACTGACCGTCTACAACTCTGCTCTGATATATTTAGCAGTGACAATGAAACCAGCAACTTTCCTCTCACAGGAAAACTCACACCCATCGCTCATGTCACCTCACAACTGTGGTCAGTGCTAGCGTTAGCGTGAATATCTCAGACATGGTAGCTCCTACAGATGCTCAGTCGGGTCCTTCAATCGTCTGAACCGGCACACTGGACCCTGTTCTGTCACAGCTCCAGCAGCAGTCTCACTGGGTTGGACTCTTTAGAAACACCACCAAGCAGCCAGTCTGTGGGCCGCAGCCCCAGAACCTCTCTTCAGTTCACTTTGCCCGACAATGTGACATCAGTCAGAACCGAAAAGTCCATGAAACTGAACATTTACTGCAGTGAAGACGAGTCAGATCACCTGAAGTCACCGATCATGAATGTAGCCCAGGTTCTGATAGAACATTAGCAGAACCTGAAGGGTTTGTAGGACTCTGAGTTTGTTAAACAGCTGCAGCACCAACAGGGTTAGAGGAGACAGTGATGCACATGTACGGTGTCCCATCCTGATGTTCTGGACTTCCAGCTGGCTGCTAATCCTGTACCATGAAAAACCACAATACTGAACTCACACGTTGGAACCAGAACCAAAACACACACTGCTCCAAGTATGTCTTTAAGGTCAAATCAAGTCAAGACTTCTCCCTTTTCTCTGTCCTTCTGCAGACTCGGAGTGTCACCACCACCACTGTGAAGCTGGAGAGGCACCTGCTGCTTCCAGGCCACAGGTATGAAGCCAGGGCTCGGGCCCGGGCCCATGTGGGCCAGTGGAGCGCCTGGAGCCCGGTGGTGACCTGGCAGACTGAACACGGTAAATCAGCTGCTCAGCGTCATTCGCTTCAGCTCGGACATTTCTGAACAAACTATTTAATGTGTTGATCAAAGTCTTTGGTTCTGGAGGAGGTTCTGCTTCTGCTCGCCCTCCCTCACATGTCGGGTCTCCCCGTCTGTCCACTGCTGTGGCAGATAGCAGCTCTTCTCATCAGCTCTTCTCTGTGTTGGGCCGTAGACTTGGGGCAGCTTCCCACTTTGGACTGTGTGCTGGACGGGGAGCGGGAGGCGGAGTGCAGCTGGGAGGTGAGCCGAGACCTGGCTCACTTCATCACCTACCAGCTGGCCTGTCGACGAGGCCACACCGCGCCGTAAGTTGAGCGTGACGCCGGTAACGCCACCTGGTGGGAGCTGAGAACTGCACCCATCCAGGTATCATTCATCCATTCACTGATCCCTGCTCGTCTTGTCATCCCCCCTCAGGCCTGAGAGATGCTGTAAGAGCCCGACCGTCAGCCCCGACCACAGCGGGGCGGTGCTGACATACAGCTGCTCGCTGGCGGTCGCAGGAACCGAACATCTGCTGCTGGACCTCCAGCCGACAGTCAACGCCAAGACTTTTAAGGCCCACCAACACAGTAAGTACACGGAGGATGAGGAGCTGTCCGCAGTGTGCCCGCCAAATTAAAAGCACACAAAGGGCAATAAAGCTGCAGACTGGCGGTGGATAGCTGAACACATGCGATGTGATCAAGTAGCCCCACCTAGTGGCTGAATGGCAGTATTGCATCCATGTTTAAGCATGGATAAAATAAGATTTATTCATACAGCCGTCCTCAGAGCCTCCCATTAGAAAAGGAAACAGCAGCTTCAGTCACTGAAAGAAGAGAAACTGACAAAAGTAATAAAATATCAATATGTAATTAATCATGACGTTGGCTCTGAATTGGGATTCATCAGAAATATAAAAAAAACAACAACAAAAAAAAACAAGCAAACCAGCCTGATGGGACCCGTGAACAACCCTCTGATTATGGCTTTATCTGTCCTGTCCTTAGTCACAGCAGACTGGTGCCTGATAGGTCAGCTGTCTCATGTGACTAGACGCTGAACCCGTGATGTGAACGTTGAACTGTGACACAGATTCAAAGCGTTCTGTCCCTGAATGGGCTGCTGCTTCTCATCATAATGTACCATATCCATCAAGAATTATCTTTCTGTTTGAATGTTTAGACAGATGTTAGATTTTCCAGATAAGATAAAAACGTAACGGGACAATTAGGAGACAGTTTAGATGCAGCTCAGCCTGAAACTACTACATGGACGGTTGACAAAGGTTCCCCAACAGCTTCCCGTACAGCAGGACTGCTAGCAGTTAGCCTTAAAGCGTCTTTAACATAACTTCCCTGAACTTGTTGCCCAGTCCGTCCCAAACCGCCACAGCAGCCAAAGGTCAGAGAGAAAGAAGGCAACTGGGTGGTGGAGTGGACCAAGCCGAGCACAGCTCTACAACTGTCCTACCAGGTCTGTTACTACAGGACACAGGATCAGGTGAGCCCTTTCTTATATGGATGTTTAGCTGCACACCTGTACGGCAGCTGCTTGCATCTGACCCAGACTGTCGTTGATTCTGTGTGTCAGGGATCCTCGGTGCCTCTGAACATTTCCGAGGGCTCCACGTCCGTGACCATCCTGGGAACATCCCTCGAGCCTCTCCAGGCCTACCAGGTCAAGGTCAGGTCCCTGCTCGTCCCCGGAGACGGTTCCCGCTATGAAGGCGTCCCCTCAGAATGGACTGATCCAGTGGACTTCACGTCCAATCAAGGTGCTGCAGACCATCAGCACCACCCAGATGCTGGACAGACTGCGGTCCGGTCCTCCTGCGGGCGGGACTTTCTGTTTGACTGCTTGTTTTCCTCTGGAGCAGCCAAAAACCCTCATAATACATTTCATGAATAATCCTCATTTGTTCTGGTTTGTGTCCCCTCACAGCCACCTGGTCCTCCGCCACCCTCATCTACGTCTTCATCAGTGTGCTTGTGGCCGCGGGCTTCCTGGTTCTGTACTGCACCGTTCCTGCCTGTCAGAGGTACTCCGTGTGAAGCCAATACGTTTCTCACTGTGGAGCTTTTGTTCTGTGTTAAACTCTTTATTTGTAACTTGAACAATTAGGAAGGTGGTTCTGTGGGTGGACTCGGTTCCTTCTCCGGGAAAAAGCAAAATCCTTTCTGAGATGAAGGTAAGGCTGGATAGCGACAGTTTGACCGATTTATTCTTGGTTTCTAGTATCACAGTCATAATCATCATGGTAGTTTTACTGTCCCTCTCTGGGCATGTCTGTGCTTCAGTCCACCACCAGCGGGACCCTCATGCAGAGCGAGAAGACATCCATCTGCCAAGTGCAACACCTGGACAGCGTGTCGACCTGGTAACCGCCCGGACAGGAAACACACTTCAAACTCGGAGAGGAAAACATGTTTCAGCACCAGTGACAACACGACTTGTTTTCTGTCTCTCTGCAGCTCCTCGGACGCTTTGCTGTGGCCGACCAAGGTCAATGAAAGACAGCATCTGGATCAGGACGAGAGCTGCTGGAACTGTGACGCTCTGTCCTGCCCCGCCGAGAAGGTCCAGGGCTCGGACACGTCCTCTCTGAGCTTCAGCGGACCGTACATCTTCTGTCAGGTCAGCCACGGCCGCGGCATGGCGGGATCCAGGAGCTGAGGATAGCTCAAGCACATGGCGTAAATCAGAGGAGATACTGAACACAGTGATCTCAGAAGGAACCTCCATGTCTGCTGTTTCTAGGCCTCTGTGTTTGAAAAGCATAAAGCCATTACGGAGGCGTTTGATTGCCTTTAATGACATTTAATATTATGGGGATATTTTGACATTTTCACATGAAGCTGAAGTGCAAAAATGAGGCATTGTGGTTAGGGTTAGCCTCACCCTACCCCTAACCCTTAGGGGGATGGGTGCCAGACTTAACCCGTGTCAGCCCGATTCTTTAGCTGGAAGCCCAAGAACAAACCAGAGAAATCTTCAGTTCACAGATGTAGAATTTATCAGGTCACAGGTCAAGGGAGGCAGCGCTGGGCTCAGACAGACAGAGATCTACCAGAAGGAGCCCAGAAACGATTCACATCTGTCTTCTCGGGCTGGGCCTGCACCGGACAGAGGTTGGACTCATACGCGACCGAGTTTATTCGACCAGTTACTGGGATGTGGACAGGCGTGCCTCGTCCACGCTCTGTCCACGTTGTAGAAATGGGAAAGCATCATGTGTGGATGTTGTTGGTACGGCGTGTTACTACAGGAACAGTCCTACTGAGAGAACTGAGCTTCTGCTGTCTCCCAGGTCTGGACCAGGTCCAACCGGCCATGCTGTGCTCAGGAGAAAAAACAGGATGACTGGTTCAGTGGAGAAACACAGATTGAGGATACATGACAGCTCCAAACAGAGCCAGTTAAACAGTATGAAACCAGCGCTCCAGTCCCACAAGACCAGAAATGAACCCCCAGAAATCCCCTGAAAACCACAAAATGTCATTTTTACACTTTGGCTGAAGATAAAAGAAGCAAAATATGAGTTACTATAAAGCGAGTGTGGCTGACAGAGCCAGGCGAGGTGTTCCCAGTGCTTCTTTGTGCTATGCTAAGCTAACTGACTGCAGCGACATGTTTACCATCTTAAATCTGACTATCGGGCAAAAATGTCAAAAAGCTTCTTGACTGAGAAAATACAATGAGCCCAGTCTTCAGAGCTTTTTACCTGCACGGTTTGTAATGCAGTTTATCAATGAGCAGCTTTGTTTCCTTCTTACAGTCATCAGAGAAAATGTCCAAGCCGGTGAACGCCCAGAGTGACGAAGGAGACAAAGAGACGCCGTCGGATGTCTCTGCATCTTCTTCTCCTGTCAACTTCACTGTTTTCGGAGAAGGCTACGTGCGCCTGCCGAGGCCCAACGTCTCCAGATCCACGCAGGATCTCGTGTCCCACAGCAACGCCAACACGAGCTGGCACGACGGCACCGAGCAGGACCGACACGGCCCCGTCAGCACACCGTGGCAGGCTGAACCGGACCAGCAGCCCGGCCTCCAGGAGCCCACCGGCAGGGAGCAGCCTCCGGAGTACACCTCAGGAGCCTTCAGCGCCTGGCCTCAGACGGCTGCCGTGCAGGCCTCGGGGTACTGCCACCTGCCCACAGCCTGCGGGACTGCAGCCAAGTGAGCAGATCAAAGAGGACCTGTCGGCATTCACAGCACACACAATCAGCCATTCTCTATCCTGAGCTTCCACTTTGTTCCACCGTCCTTATGCTTCTGCATCACGTCTCAGTCATGAGCCTCGGGGATGGGCTGCACCACGGAGAGGAAAAGCTTCCCGTCTTTTTAAACTCATTCTAAATGTGGACCAAAGACCTTTCATCTCATGTAATCCAGCAGCAGTCATGTGCTACGTTTTTTAGTGAACCTGTGTCTGATCCGATTCTTCACCGACTGTTGTGCTGTTTTGTGTTTTTAGCCGCATCATTTCCTTCCTGCTCGTGTTGCTCCACCTATGCACAGCGTTTCACACAGGAAGTCCGTATCCAACCACAGACTCCTGAGAATCGTGTTGAAATCTAGTCCTTTTTATGACTTCCTCAAACTCACTGCCGTGGAAAGAAGCTGGATTATGTCAACGGCACTTCACTGGAAAGGTCTGCGTTTGTGCTGACGCTCGTGTTGTCATGCTCGTGTGCATGTTTGCACGAGGACGTGTGAGCTGATGCCCTGTTGTGAATGTCCTCGTGTGTGTGTGTTATCTACATTGTGATGCAGTGAAACGGTTGCATGAACCTCTAAACCCCACGAGGTTTCTGGGTGTCTGGTGCTCCTGTCACATCGAACTGGGCTGATAGTGTCTGAATGGTGCGACTGAAGAGGACTCAGAAATGTCTTCTGTGCAATCTGACGGAGTTATGATGCCGCACATCAGACAATATGGAGACAAAAAACAAAAAACATTGAATGTCTGTGACTGTTTAATTAACAAACTGTGAAAAATGAATGAATGAATGAATGAATGAATGAATGAATGAATGCCCTTTATTGTCGTTCTGCAGCGTACAGCGAGATCAGAGAGCTTCTCCTCTTTTCAGTGCAAGTAAAAAACAAAAAAAACAAAATAAAGTGCAAAATTGCTCAGTTAACTACAAAGATAAAAAAAAGGATAAATATACAAAAAGAAACCAAAGATTTAAGACGTATTGCACGAGATGATGGTTACCTGTCCAGGTGAACCTGCCTTCACCCTGAGTCAGCTGGGATAGACTCCGCCCCCCTGCGACCCCAGTGAGGGTTAAGGTGTAGAGATGATGGATGTATATTTACATACAGATGATGGATATCTACATCGTGCACATGGTGGAGGAGTCTTGCTGAGGCAGAGAGGATGTTTTACATGTGACAGTTCATGATGGTGGCGGCTCTCAGACAGAAACTGTTCCTCAGTCTGTTGGTCTTTGCTTTGGAGCCTCTGTAGCGCCTCCCAGAGGGCAGCAGCTCAACCAGCTGAGAACCAGGGTGTGAACTGTCCTTGGTGATGCTGCGAGCTCTGCTGAGGTACCGGGTGGTGTAACCGTCTGTCAGGGAGGGAGAGGGCCTCCGACTGTCCTCTGAAGCCTCGGTGCAGCTCCAGGTGGAGGCGCAGGACGTCAGCAGGCTCTCCATGGCCCAGCGATAGAAGGCCAGCAGCAGCTTCCTGTCCAGCTTGTTCTTCCTGAGGACTCTCAGGAAGTGCAGATGCTGCTGGGCCTTCTTCATGGCAGCTGAGGTATTGTCTGACCAAGAGAGGTCATCAGAGATCTGGACTCCCAGGAACCTGAAGGTGTAGACTCTCTCCACACACTCGCTGTTGATGTAGAGGGGGGGCGGGTCGGTTCTGTTCCTCCTGAAGTCCACGATGATCTCCTTGGTCTTCGCCGTGCTCAGTGCCAGGTTGTGGTCTGAGCACCAGGTCGAGAGCTTCTGGACCTCCTCTCTGTAAGCGGACTCATCTCCCCTCGAGACCAGTCCGACCACCGTGGTGTCGTCAGCGAATGTGATGATGATGTTGTGTTTGTGGGCTGGACTAGATGCAGAGACGGTACAGGAGGGGCTCAGCAGCAGCCCTGTGGTGACCCGGTGCTCAGCGTGCGGCTGGAGGACAGGTGGAGGCCACGCCTCACAGTCTGGGGTCTGTTGGTCCAGAAGTCCTTTGTCCAGGTGCAGGTGAGAGGGGGAGGCCCAGGGAGTCCAGTCTGGTGATCAGAATGTTCTGGATGATGGGGTTAAAGGCCGAGCTGTAGTCCACAAACAGCATCCTGGCACAGCGCTGCTGCTGGTCCAGCTGGGGGGGAGACAGTCCTTGATGTGCTGGAGAACCTTCATACGAACCGGTGTGAGGGCAACAGGGCGGTACTCACTAAGGCTGGTGGGGGGGACTTTTTTGGGATTATTGTGTCAGATGTCAGGCAGGTGGGAGACTGCTTGGGCCTCAGACAGGTGGAAGATCCTGCCTTCTAGCTGTGAGGCGCTAACGGTGCTAACCACCGAGACACCTGCAGCCGCCAGAGTTACCAATATCATAGAAATAATTGCTCCACATGCTGAGATATTTAATGATTTAGGTTTTTGTGTTTTCTTCACTGCTGTGCACATGGACTCCAGAGAGACGCCTCAGTGAGCTCAATGCATCCTTCATTCCTCTGGATGGCTTTTTAAAGCCACGCTGCATTCATTACATTGATCAGTTCCCTCCTAATCCCACTAATGATTTCCCTTCTTGTCTCGTCTCCTTTGCATAAACACAGCCTGCAGCTCATCCAGACAGGCTGCAGACATTTTGTTTATCACAGGATCTGGAGCGAATGCTTTGTGTTGGTGAATTATTAAATGAGATACTGTGGACAGGCAGTGATTCTGATAAACAAAATGTCAAAGCTTCTCACAGTTTATTTATTTTTTAGCTCCATAGATGTTCCCTGTTTATGTTCAATGAGTGAAAAGGACAGGATTTGTTATGTGCAGGCTGTGAGTGTGAAGATATATATCCATGAGGCACCATTTATTGCTGCGTGTCTTTACTGTTAATGAGCTGTTTCTGGATCTGATTCTGATTCTTTTAGTTGTTTTATCCTCCAGCTGTGTGATAACGTTGTTCTTCCTTCACATTAAAACTGTAAGTTTAAAAGAATAAAAAGCTTTTGTGATGATGGAAGAGCGGCTTGTTTGTTTGTTTGTTTGTTTGTTTGTGTTCTAAGTTGGACTGATGCAGCTGCTGCCCGTCCTGCTGACTCCTACCAGTGATGATAAAACACAAACACCTGTTCCCATGATGCACCGCTTTTATTTGGGTTGTACTGTTGATTTTAGTCGTGATAATAATAATAAACAACATGTCTTCATATTCTTCCTTTGTACACTTTTTAATAATAATAAAAAAAATAAATAAATAAACCCAACTTGGGTTCCCATGATGCACCTGTCGGTACACCTGTGGCTGTGAAGCCACGCGCAGGCTGGTGGAGGCGGCGGCGCACGAGCAGCGGGCTGGAGGCAGCAGCTCACCGGGTCAGCAGGTGGCTTCAGTCGGACAGGACCGAACCGAACCTCAAACTTCACCGGTGAGTTTTCTCGTCTGTCGGCTCACGGTCGTCGAACCGGGCGTTAGCTTCAATGCACAACGGAACCGTCCCGGTGGCGTCTGTGTTCACGTGAGTCTGCCGGTTCCTTCATGTTCTCTGAACGAGGCGACATGTGTAGAAAACGCTTCAGAACTTTAAAGAAATGTGACCACAGCTGCAGAGACGACGTTTCACGACAGTTGAGCCGTTTTCCGTCTCCTACATGTCTCCTTCCGTGTCTCCTTCCATGTCTCCTTCCATGTCTCCTACCGTGTCTCCTTCCATGTCTCCTACCGTGTCTCCTTCCATGTCTCCTTCCGTGTTTCCTACCGTGTCTCCTACCGTGTCTCCTTCCATGTCTCCTTCCATGTTTCCTACCGTGTCTCCTACCGTGTCTCCTACCATGTCTCCTACTATGTCTCCTACCGTGTCTCCTACCGTGTCTCCTACAGCTGCTGCTGCTAACCCTAGCCCTGTGTCCTGCAGTGTTTTACGGGTGTTGTCTGCTGAACCGACCGTTTTCATTGAACCTCCTTCAAAGCCGGCTGGGTGTGTTAGCTTCACACTCAACAGGTTTCCCCATTTAAACAGTGTTAGCATTAGCTTAGCTTGCTGTATTGTGAGCAGTGACTCTGAGAAGCTGTGAGTTGACAATAAAACTAAAAAAAAAGCTAAACAGGATTACAGCTCAACATCTTACAGTTAATTCTGTTTTTTCTTCTTCTGAATATGTGAGCTGGCAGGCTAATGCTGGGCTAATGCTGGGCTAATGCTGGGCTAATGCTGGGCTACTGCTGGGCTACTGCTGGGCTAATGCTGGGCTACTGCTGGGCTAAGGATGGGCTACTGCTGGGCTAATGTTGGGCTAATGTTGGACTACTGCTGAGCTACTGCTGGGCTAATGATGGGCTACTGCTGGGCTAATGATGGGCTACTGCTGGGCTAATGATGGGCTACTGCTGGGCTAATGATGGGCTACTGCTGAGCTAATGCTGGGTTAGGGTTAGCTTCATTTAGCCTCCATTTAGAAGCAGTGTGTGTCCACTGAGGCATCATGGCGGTGAGGTGGAGCGTGTCAAATCCAAACTGCAGAACTCTAATCTTCCTGCAGCACTCGTTGCTCGTTTGGAGAAACAGTCATTTTAAATGTCTGCATACGTTCCTGTGTCCACCTTCACACCCGTTACTGCCTGAAAGCGCTCATCATGGCGTCGGTATGGAAACAGGAGTCTGGTAGCAGGATGTCTCCTATTTATACACAACAGATAATGGTGGTATGAAGGCAGCTCAGACTGCTGGAATATTTTAGGTAATCTCTCCACCCATTTGTACTTGAGTGGTTCTGGTTCCAGTGTGCTCAGGAGGTCCTGTAGTTCTACAAACCAGATGAACAGCAGAGCATCAGACCAGCTGCTCCTCAGAGCCACAGTGGAGGAGTTCAGTCTGGACATTTCTGCAAAGTGTGAAAAATGAACTCAAAACTTTGATGTAAAGGCTGAAACACATGTCGATGGTCTGAACCGGCTAGTCCTGTTAATGAGCATCATCAGAGCCAGAACACGTCAGGGCTCGTAGGGTTTACTACACTCAGCACTGAAGTCGATGAAATGCTCCTTCTGCTCAACCAAAGTCCAGCTGCAAGGATTCTTGGAACCAGCAAACATGTCTGGCAGTGAATTTGACTAATAAACAAATGTTTTGGTGTTTTTTTGGTCTCCAACATGAGCTGTTTCTAGCTCCTCAGATCTTCGTGTTTGGTGACTTGATGCTTCGTCACACATGATGCTCAACTGAATATGTGAAGAAACTAAATGTGTCCTTGACCTGTGGGAAACCGTTACCTGGAGTTTGTGCCAGTAGACCCAAGAGATGCATGTTTCCATGTTTGCGTGGATGAAACCAAACCGATGCTGTAAACTCTGTAAACATAAAGAACCTGATCAACGCACTGAATGTTTTTGTCAGATTGTTGGAAACCTCTGAAGGATTTTGGAGAACCTTGCAGACGACCTTGAGGACCACTCCCCGTGTCCACAGTGCTGCTGCTTGTCCAGTAGCTGTGGTCTGTGGACCTGAGTGCAAACTGAGACTCCGTTAGATGATCCCTGCACATGGAGCACTGCTGCAACAGACGTCCCGGTTGGAAGCAGGAACCGTAACCATGCAGGACGTGAATATTGTGTGTGAATAACTCAGACTGGCCCGCCGCGAGCCTGCGTTTGAGCCAATCAGATGGCTGCAGGTGTTGTTCTTCCTCTGGGTGCCGCCATGTGTCTGCTGGGTTCTGGTCTGATTTGTTCCTGATCGTCTGATGAACACGACCGTTGCTGTGATTTTGGTTTAATCAGTTCGCTCTAAGTGTCAGTGGAGCTTTTGTTGAAGCCGTGCTGCTGCACCTCCCACATGCTGTCCAGTGACTCTGGTCCGTCCAGCATCTTCATCACCTTTGGCATTTGCATAACAGAAAAACAGGCCCTCGTGTTGTCAGAGTTTTGGCCTCCTAGTCCTGGAGCTTCAGTTCCTGTGTGCTATGTCCGAATATGTCCATCGATTAATGACGTGCGGAAATGCTTCAAGGCGGCTCGGCACAGAAGTAAACCTTCAGCTGTGATGTTGGTCTTGGTCTCTAAACTTCTGCATTCTCTGTTGTGTCCTGTAGATGGCGACGACATAAATCTGCAGCACAACTGAACTTTATTAAAACCGTCTGAGTTGTGCTGCGCTGACATCAGCAGCTGATATGAACTCGGAGCCGGATCAGTACCTGCCAGGGTTTCTGTCTGTTCCCCATGTCGGCACAGAGCTGAACCCGTGACTCCCGCTGGGCTGTAAACGTTACTGTAAACCTGCAGAGAGCTCACATGTTGTTCTGGCACATTCCTGGAAGGAGGAAGGGAGTGAAAGACGAAGGGATAGACGAGAGACAGAACCAGTCTGTTCAGGTCCAGCCCTGCTGAGCGAACACGGCTTATCCAGATACATCTGATGGAACAGATTGTTCTGGAAATGCTCGACTGAAATCGCACCATAAAATCTAGTTTGCATCTTTTCTTTAACAAATCTGTGAATCTTGGTTAGTGGCTGCTCTGACAGTCGGTGTGCTGATCGCTGCTCTCAGTGAACAAACAGAGAGCTTCAGGTCTTAGTTTTACACCTCAGGGCACGTTCTCATGAACTAGATGGTTCAGGAGTGAGTTCACAGGCACAGTGCACATTAGAGTGATCAGTGAAGGCCACCGTTAGCAAACGAATACGTCTGCTTTACTCCAAACTGCTGTTCAGTCTGTAGTGAATCCCTAACCAGTGTAGCTGCCCACAACATCTTCGTCTGTCAGTCCCGTAAGCCATCAAATGACAGATCTAGTGCGGTCAGAGTGCTGCAGTGATGAGACGGACAGCAGGAGGTCATCTGCTGTTCTGCAGACTACAGTCAGAGGAACCAGAGGCTGAAGCTGCATCTGGTGCAAACCCAAACCCACACAGTGGAGGTTGTGGATGCTCTGACCAGGAGGAGCGAGTGGAAGGAAGACAACGATCCCAGATGTGTTCGCTCCACCATGAGCTGCTTCCACCACATCAGCTTGTTTCTTGTTTGCATTCAGCTCAGTCAGAGGAGTCGTGTTTTCTGACTGAAGATTCACCTGTTTCCCTCTTTTCTATGTCAGCCTCTGTTTTCCGTAACCAAAGTTTAAATGCCGTCTTTACTGTCTGGTTAAACACCGGCGGTAGAAACGACTGGATGGAGACTCCTCATGAGTTGTGCTCTGCTGGTAGTTTGGAGGCAGGAAGTCTAAAGTAGGTCACCATGGAGTGATGTCCACGCTACGCAGAAGAACCTGTTTTCCAGGGTCAGAAGGATGCAAAGCATCTTTAAGCCTCAACGTTAGTCAAAACAAAAATGTCTTTGAATATTTCTGCTAAAATGCAAGTTAGCAGAGTTTGTAAGAAGCCGTCTCCTGTGAGCGGAGTGTGACGGGATGCCAGGAGCATACGGGCCTGCTGAGTTCTGGACTAATGCAGCGCTCATTGACTTGAGTGACGCCGACGCCTTTTACTGTCCTGAAGAAATGAGTCATGCTGGAACTGATTGATGAGCTGGATTTAGGCGTGAGGGCTGGTTTAGTGAGCATGCATGAAGCTGAAATACCGTTCTACTGACACGGTGCTGTGTTCTCTGTTCTGGTCCAGGTTAACGCTGCTGCTGCTGCTGCTGCTGTTGTTTTCAGTGTTCTAGTGTCTCAGACCCTGCTCACTCTGGTGGACTGGACAGACCACATGCCTGACATGGTTGGTGTGAACTCAAATATCAGCGTCATGCCTCTGGTATGACATCAGCTCTAAGATACGTCAGTGAAGACAGTATGAATGTCCACCAAAGACACGCAGAAGACATGTTGATGAGCAGCAGGCCTCCCAAGGTCAGCACAGCGTCAGTGTCCTGTGGAGGTGCATGAAAATGTTCTGGACATCCTGGTCATGCTTACAGCGATGCTTGGAAGGTGGTTTGGCGACGCTGTTGTGTCTCACACAGCACTGTCTATTATTACTATTATTGTTATTATTGTTATTATTATTAGCATTATTATTATTAGCATTATTAGCATTAGCATTGATTGACACGGTGCTGTCTATATTATTATTATTATTATTGTTAGCATTATTATTAGCATTAGCATTGACACAGCTAGCCCTGCGTAGCCTCCTGAGCCTGACGAGATGCTGTTGTGTCTTACACAGCGCTGACCAAGGATGTCATGACACCTGGTAGCTGGTAGTTGGTCCCTGCACCAGTGAAATACCAAATAGGATCCCACTTCTGCTAAAATGACATTAATCAAATAAATGTAGTTTAACAGAAGCAGTTTTTATTAATAAAATAAAGAACAAAGTGTTGAGGACACACAGGGCTGTTTGATCTGTGACTACATGTTAATATAAAGTCATAGCTGCAACTCAGCTCCTGGAACCAGAACAATCAGCAGGACTGAAATCATAAAGATGAAGTTTGGTTGGCGCTGGTTCTGTCTGAAGCTGGAGTCGTTTCTTCAGTAGAACTGAGCTGATGGTCATGTTTATCAGGATTCAATCAGCCACATGAAAATGTTCAACACGTCCATAGAAAGCACACTGAGGACAGCAGTGGACGATCACTGCTGCGGTTCTGGCCACTCAAGAACCGGCACCAGTTACACAACGATCCCTGATACCTGCCAGCAGCGTGGAGTCACCAGTTCAGTGCTCTACAGGCTCACTGCCAGGGAATCGTTTACAGGCCGTTTATTAGTGCGAGAGCATCACAGATGGATGTGGCCACCTCTGGTCTGCTCTCATTAGAAATGTGTGCTTCGTGCCATTTGCGTGTTTCCATGTAACTACTTGTGAGCATGTTCTATGAAGTAGCTCCACGTCACGAAACAGACAAACACGGCTTATGGTCACAGCACGACACCAAACCGGAGGAGACACAAGCCCAAAGGTTGAGTGTCAGCGATACAACAACACGTAATCTGTCGCTGAGCGTTTTGTGCAGTGAGTCAGTCGCCCAGATATGCAGTCGGCCCGATGATGTGAAGCTCGAAGCATGCTGAGAATGCTTTGGCCTCCTGCTGCTGCTGCTTCTCTGGGTTCAGCAGGTAGGACGACTCCTTCCAGGAACTGACAGTTTACCAGGAATGAACTCCAGATGTTGTCAGTGTTGTCCCTGAAGTCCTCCTGGCCAGAGATGTAGACGGTCCCCTCAGAGCCTGGTCACAGCGTCCAGAGGTGGACCGCTGTGTGTGCTGATGGTCAGAGTGGGCTTGTGGACGGTTCTGTTCTGTTCTGTTCTGGCAGGATGAGACCTCAGTGGCAGACAGTGTGTTTAATGAATGCATGGAGTGAGGAGCTGTGTGGCGTTACTGAGCTTTCCTTTAGCTTCTGTTCGCCTAAAGCTGGAGTGTGTCGGCATCATTGGACAAAATTAGGTTTTGATGTGTCACCTTATTATAATTAAAGTGAACTCAGAGGAAACGGACTTCTGCACCTCCTCCGACAGCAGGAGGATAAAGAGAAGGTTCAGCCAGGAGAGCTTTGAATCCACGTGAAACCACAAATACAGGTTGAACTGTGGCTGGACTGTGTTCACATTCTGACAGGAGGGTTACGGCTAGCCTAGGGGTTAGGGCTAGGGCTAGGGTTAGGGTTAGGGTTAGCCTGGAGTTAACCTGGAGTTAACCCTAACCCTAACCCGGAGGGCTGGAGAGCACAGGAAAGAGCTGGTATCTGGTCCAGACTAAACAAAGCAGCACCATGACACTGAGGACACTGTAAAACAGAAAACCTTTTCTACTGTTTAGGAACAGCATCCAGTGGGACCAGCCTGCTGGTCTGTGGACTCTCATCTGACTGGTTCCAGCTGAAGACGGACATCTGAAGAACAACCTCACAAATACAGCGTGTTGTCATTTAAACACAAGGTTCAGTCGTAGCTGAAGCTGTCGGGCGCTGTAGCAGGGAAGGAGGTGTCTTTGTTAAACTATGTTCAATCTGAGCTTGTGTGTGTGTGTTCAGGAGAATGAAGAAGATCACAGGGACGTTCTTGATCCTTGGTGGGGTACCTCGGGGAACACGTGCCCACACTGGGGGTTATTGTGAGGAGCTCTGTGACACAAGGAACCGTGTCTACAGGACACGGGGCAGACATTGTGTAGATGTTCCTGGCAGCAGCTCTGTGGCTCTGGGCTAACCCTGTTCACAGCCTGGTGTAGCTCCTCTGACGTGAAGCCTGTGGTGCTCATAGTAGCTGTTATTGTTCACAAGTGACTGATGTGAATACAACCCAGAGCTGGTGGTGTTTGTGACCTGCCACAGAGCTCGTTATCCTGGTGATGACAGAGCGGGCGGGCCTGTTTGGTCAGGTAGAGAGTTCCTGTGCTCTCAGCCCCGCCCAGATACCTGCTGGCTTTGATATGCACCAGCCTGACAAGCAGGTCATCACTCAGGTGTGGCTCCGCTCTCTGTCCAACTCACAGGCTCTGTCAGAGGCTGGAGGATTATTCCCACAGAAGCTTTCTCTGTTTTTGGTGTGGTTTTTCTTTCACCCTGCAGCTTGGAGGAGAGCGTTCTGATTCTTGAGGAGCTGTACGGACTCCTGTGGACTCCTGCTGAGCAGCTTGTTGGGAACCAGGCCAACCCAGGTGTGTTTCATTTGTGTTTCTGTCGCGATGGCTTCAGGTGTTGCTTTCCATGGCTTGATGTCCTGTCTCAGCAGGAGTGTGTGCTACGCTAGAACCTCCATCATGACTTATGTGTGACCTCCTGTGAGCTCATGGCCTTTTGTCCATCAGCACTAAAACTGCCACATGTTCTGAAGTTGGTGGAGAGCTGGAACACGGAGGAACCCGTCTGTTACAGGACTTGTTATCCTGCTGATGACGGAGCAGACAGGCCTGTTTGGTTCTGGTTCTGATCTGGATCGCATGTACATAGTGACTGTGTGTAAGTCATCCTGATGTAGTGCAGGCTGCATGTGGGCTTGTCTCTGAGGGGATGTGGACTCAGTTCTGCTTTAATTTAATCACAGTGTCAGTCATTTCATCAAACAGTAGGAAGGCTGGGGTCAAGCTGTCCCTGTCCTGCCCAGCGTAAAGACAAAGACATGTCGATGAGTCTTGTTTGTGGAGCACGTGACGGTGGCTGCCTGCCGCCTGCAGCTCAGAGCTGCCACGATCCGGTCAGACTTCTTCAAACTGCCGTCTGGAATTCCAACAATGAGCACTTCCTCTTTCCGGCTGTTTTCACCTGCTGAATGAGGAGAGGGAATGTGGTCTTTCTTTTCTCCCCTGTGGCGGTGCAGGAGGCGCCACTGGATCCGATGCGGGCCGTACGTGTCGGTTTCATCATAACTATGCATTTCATGGTGACAGCAGCAGCTCCAGCACCGTAGAGCTGCTCTCTGCCACACAGCAGGAAGTCCAGCTGACTCTGAAGGAGGGCAGTGATCCAGAAAGTCCACCTTTGGTTCCTTTGGCTCTAGCGTGAAGCCCCACAAGTCTGAATCAGGTTTCTGACAGTTTCAAAGTAGAAATGCTCAGCCAAGGTGTCGTCTGCTTCTTGTGCTCATGAGGCCACTCGGTCATGTTGATGTGAAGCCTTGCATACGGTCAGAGTCAGGCTGAGATGAGATGTTCACAGAAACTCAGTGACTGCTGATATAAAGTCAGTGGTGTTGATTTATCGTCTCGATCCAGCTTCTGTTCCTGAGTGGATGAGCAGCCCGACACACTGACGACACAACACGTGTCTTATTGTTCTTCTAAGCTTGTGTTTGAATCTTTAAAAATACTTCAGGTGTGTGCATCCTTCCTCCACATAAACGTTACCAGACTGTCCCTTTAAAGTAGCGCCCTACAGTTTATCACTCTTTAAACTCGACTGTGTTCCTTCCATGTCTTCATGAATCAGCAGCTCTTCCTGTTGCCCTCTGCAGTGCCGGAGCTTTGCCATGAGATAGGACCTGCCCTGAAGGTACCGTCTCTCCATGCAGCGCTATCCTCCCCACATGGTGCCGATGGACCCTCAGGTCTGTCCACCGCCGCTGAGCAGCAGCCACTCAGTCATCAGCGGCCTCGACAAATCCCCGGCCGGCACGTTCAAACCCGGCCACTCGCGCAACAGCAGCACTGGCTCCTCCAAGAACTCCAAACAGGTAAACAATAAATCAAATTGCTCTGACGTTAGTATGGAAACGTTTAGATATGTTACTGTAGACGATTCAACAGACTGTTGGCATCGGCCACAAGCAGCAAGATGCTGTTTCTGCCCCTCCGTTCACAAGAGAGGCTGGACTCTAACAGACTTCAGTGCAGTTCCTCAAAGTAGCCCAATAATTACTTCCTCAGTCTGAATACCTGTGAAAATGAAAATTAATTTACTAACTGTCTCTGTGTCAGTCTCGTCACTGGGAGGTAATGGACGACCTGCAGAATCTGGACATGTGCTCGGTCCCGGGCTCCACTCTGGACCTCAGCATCCCAGGAATCTGTGAGGGATACCTGATGAAGAGGAGGAAGTATCCGCTGAAGGGCTGGCACAAGGTGGGCATGGCTCCGACTGCCTGCCAGGTTTTACCTGTGGGGCTTTAGGGTCATGATGTTCAGTATCAGCTGGTCTGTCAGGTGGTGTCTAGTTCATGGTCTAGCAGGTAAATGATCAGATGATGACTCACAGCTGGCTCAGAAGCTGGAACCAGAGAAGACTGACATGTTTCACAGCTCTGGCTTGTAAAAACATAAATGAATGAAATGTTCTGTTATCATAGAAGCTAAATTATTGTTCTGTAAAAAGTCTGAAGCCATCAGCCTTCATTCACACGTGGTGCTGATGTGTTCACACAGATATAAGAACCCTGGATTAAACCTGTTTTAGCTCCTCAGTGGGTCTGAGCATCGGTTTGGTCAACAGGACTGAAGGAGAGCTGCTCACTCTGATTTCTCTTTAATCCTTCAATGTGATTGGTTGTTTTCAGAGATACTTCCTCCTGGAGAAAGGGATTCTCAAGTACTCAAAGACACCTCAAGATGTAAGTCAACAACTGTTCCGTGTACTGACCTGCTCTCATGGACTTGAATAGACAGGACAAGCAGATGTTGACCACTGGCTGCCATTGTGTCATAGATCCAGAGGGGGAAGCTCCACGGGTCTTTGGACGTCAGCCTGGCCGTCATGTCTGTGAACAAGAAGTCCAAACGCATAGACCTGGATGCTGGAGACAACCTGTACCACCTCAAGGTACTGCTACTGAACTCTAGAGGAACCAAACACATCCACAACCAGACGTCTGGATTCTTCAGCCGGCTGTAAAATGGACATTTATGGGTTCCACTGTGTCCTCTTTTCTTCTGTCCCTCCTCGATTCAGGCAAGAAGCCATGACATCTTCTACATCTGGCTGACCAAGCTGTGTGCCCACCGTGTGTTCAGGAAGAACGAGGCGATGACCGTCCAGCGCGGTGTCTTTCATGCTATATCCATGGGCCAGAACACCCTGCCAGCGATGAGCACGCTGGCCCAGCAGCAGAGAGCGTCGGTCAGTATAGAGTCCTGCTCCAAACACTGGTACCAGACTGTAAGTCACAGGGTTGGACCTCTACAAGTACAGCTTTGATGCTTCTGTTCTGGTACATAAGCAGACCAGGGTCCACCTTTACAGAGCAGCTCGAGCTACACCCACACAGTCCAACACCACAGCATGCAGGCCGTCTGGAAGGCTAACGTTCACTCTGCTAGCAGTGTTTGTTCTTGGTGTGCTCTATACATTTCATTTCATGGATACTGATCAGAGCTAAACTTTGCCACCTCTTGATCCGTCATTGCTGAAAACACGTTTAGCTTTTGGTCTCCGTGGTGATGATGAAGGACGACCGACTGAGAGGTGGTATGTTCTGGCAGAACACTCGGCTTTGTGGTACCTGACGCTAACTGTCAGTGTGTTGTGTTCACTGTGAGTCTGCTTGTCTGTGTGTTATCACCACAGACAAGCAAACCGCATCACCGTTATACAAGCTGCAGTCGTGGAAATGTAAATCTGTGTTGAGATCAAGCTGAAGGCTGAGTCCGATGTGGATGTGGTCCGAGCTACTGGGTCAGCGTGCAGCTGTGTGGTTCTATCACAGGACACTTACTAGTTTAGTTATTTCACATAATTTATTTACGACTTCCTGGAAGGAAAACCAGGAGGCGTGTGATGCAGTACCTCGTCTGTGCGACGAGCATTCAAACTGTCAAGGTGTTGGGCTGGAAATGATGAGATGAAGAACTGTGCTGACGTCCAGCATCTGAGAGTCTGTGAGCAGCAGGTGTTCTGACTTCAGCCTTCATGTCCCACAGCAGCAGCTGTTGACAATCACAATGTGATTTTTGTCAGTCATTGCTGTTTTAAAGCCTTTAACTGAGATGTTTGATTCTCCAGCTTCCTTACTACGCCAGCTCTACGTCAGTGTACCATCCAGAGGTGGCGAGCCCTGCCCCGGCTGTTGCCTCTCACCCAGAGGTGACCAACAAGGTGTCGGCCTGGCTGCAGCAGACCCACGACATCGATGCAACCTCCAATGGTGAGAACCACCTTTAATGATGATTTCCACGTGCTGAACAATGAGGACGTCCACACATGCAGACAGTAAACAGGCCAGCGTGAGTCCCACTGCCTCCACAGAAACTGATGCAGACCTTTTTGTTCTTCTCTGAACGCTGTCTTTCAGACCTGAATCGCTGTCAGGCTGAGCTGACTGAACTGGCTCAGCTCATCCAGAGGCTCCACTGGCTGGAGGGAGGAGTGCCCGTCACCGACACCGACCTGGAGATGAGAATCAACATGCAGGTGAGTTCTCCACCTGTGTGATCCTCCACCTGCTGTTTCTGCAGAAATAACCGTGTCTGACGTGATTTATTGCTCCATCCAAGCACATGTCTTTAAACACTAATGAACACATCATACATTCATGTGAATGCCTCTTTAAGGGGAACATTACAGAAGGTAGACCTGCAGATACAACAACAGAACACTGGTTGTTTAATTGGTTGAAACCCTGTTGGTCTGTTTCTAGAATCTCTCTCTGGAGAAACCTAAGAAAAAGACTGGAAGGTTGGTCGGCCACTCCCGGACCTTGTCTCGTGTGGAAGCCATGGGAGGAATGGTGAGAACGTTCCTGCTACACACAGTCTCTTTTCATTTGACAGGTTTACCTTCATTTGCAGTGTCTGGATTCGTTCTGTCCTTGTTGCATCTTGTGGTATCGCCTTCTTGACCTTCTCTCTTTGTCGTCTCCAGTTCACTTCCAGCCACCTGAGTACAAATTCAAGTTCTGGTTTGGGGGCGTCCGTTCAGTCCATCCCCGACTACGTCTACTCCCAGCTGTCCAACCCTCAGGGAACCTCCCCGGAGGCGAAGAAGCTCCACCAGGACATCTGCACTGTGTCTCAGAGGGGTACGACCTTCCTGCCTAACAGCCAGCACTATCTGAAATTCTCTCAATAGGTTTACTGGAGTTCATTCTGAGCTGTTTACGAGAAATGTGCTGAAGTGATTTGTTCAAAAAGCAAAGTCGGGCTGTCATCACTTGGGCCTGTGATACGTGTGGGCATCAGTTCCCTCCTGAAGCAGCCTCGCTGACTCATGTTCTGTGTTTACTGTGTTACAGTTCACACCTCTCTCAAGTCCATTCATGAGGTTCTGACCCTGGACAGAGAGAAGCTGAAGCAGGCCTGGACTAGCCCAGAGCTGAGACAGAACACCTCCCAGCAGCTCGCTACCCTCTGCAGCCTGTCCCAGGTAACGCACACACACATCGAGTGACCCACAGCCGGGCCGGATCGGAACAGAACTCCCCAAAACACCATGACACTGACTCATTCCTTCACCAGGAGCCCCAGAACTGAAACTGTGATCACTGCCCCAGAACATTAGTGTCAGCCTGCAGAGAGAGGCCCAGCCCTGGCTGTCTGTTGGTGAAACTGTGGAGCAGGTTTGGGCTGTTCCTACCCAGGACAGGCACAAGCTATCACAGGTGTGACCTGAAGTCTTTCCTCCCCCTTGTTTCCACACAGACACACAAATAAAGGGCTGTTGTCACACACTGAAACTGAGCAGTCGAGTCGGGCGAGGGCCTGTTGGTTCCTGCTGTCGACCTGACGGCACTCAGTCACTCGCTGGGCGCTGCACGAGGCTTCTTGTGAGCTGCTGCCTGTTTCCTGTCCTGCAGCGTGTGAACCAGCCTATAGCTGTGGCTCTGGGCCTTGTTGTGCTGTCGGTTGCCTGGCAGCTGTTCTGTGGTGTGTCGGTATGTGTGTTCGTTCCAAACTGTTTAGTAATTCCCCTCCTGTCAGTACGCCCTGAAAAGCAAAGATAACTGTCAGAAGTTTCAGTCAGAACGTTGTGGTAGAGCACCTGCAGTCGGCTGGACCAGCCCGGACAGCCTGGCACAAATATATCTATAAGATTACTGTCAGAATATATATATATATATATATGCATGGCCCTGCAGCTTTTCTGTTAGATAGCCTATCGATTGAGCACCATGTGGCCTCGTGCTCGGTGCTACATCTGAAGCCCAGTCACTTCTGTTCAGGGACAAACAGTTTGTGCGGCCCTACAGATGAAATGGCTCTATGCCCTGGATAGAAGGAAAACGTGAAGCTTTTTGTGCGTCTGCTCAGGCAGCAGCTGTGACTGTAGGTGTAACAGGTTCAGGTCTGTGTGTCCGTCCTGTTCCTGTGAATGTGATCTCCTTTGTTCAGACTTGCCAGCAGCAGGCCTGTGCTGCAGTGTGGAGGCTTGGACTGCAGCCTGGGTGTGTCCGAGGCAGGAAGGCTGAAGGAAACACTGATGGAGGAGCTGAAGCGACCCCGTTGTTCCTTCCATGGACTTAACGTCAGGACAGCTTTGCTCCATTACCTTCTACCAGAGATCTTTTTATTTATTTTATTGAAGTCTTGCACATCTGAAGGTGAATTAGAACATGTCTCAGGGGCTCTCTAACTCATCGACATGTGTTTTTCCAGTAATACAGCTTTGTTAGCACTTGGCAGCAGCTAGCTCAACCTGCTAAAACACGTTCAGAACGTTAAGCAAATAGCAGCTCAACTGTTGAGGTCTTGCTAGCAGCTGAACAGTGACTCAGGTCACCTGTACCTGTGTTGTTCCAAATCAAAGCTGTGTCCTCTGAGGGACGTCCGGCATTACAGAGAAACCCAACAACCCACTTCCCTCCAGCTGTGAGCGCTCTGGAGCCTGCATGACCCTCTGCTCACTTTGGTTCTGACCTTCTGTTTCCTCTGCATTTGTCCTGCATGGCTGTGTGTGTGTGCGTATGTGTGTGTGTGTGTGCGCGTGTGTGTGCGCGTGTGCGTGTGTGTGTGCACGTGTGTGTCCGTGTCCATACGTGTGCATGTAGCTTGACATACGAACCAAAGTCCATTCGCTTTCCCTGTCCTCTGACTCTTCTGAGGAATCCTTCTGCACCGTCCTTCCGGACCAGGTGTGTACTGCGCTCTGTGTGTGTGTGTGTGTGTGTGTGTGTGTGTGTGTGTGTGTGTGACCTTTTTAAAAAAATTTAAATTTCTGTTTTTTGTTCTATTTTGTTGTTTTGATATTTTTTATTATTTGTTTTTTTACTTTTTTGATGCTGTCGGTCAGATTGATCCTGAAATCAGAGGAATTGATTTTTCAGCAGTAAATCATGGAATCATGAAAATCGTGGGCACGATCAGAGAGAAGCCGTCCTCCTGGGGCTTAGAAACACACCTGTCCTCATGTAGAGCATACACTTCATAACGGACTGTGACCAGAACATGGTGCTGTTCACCGTCAGTGCGGTCAGTAGTCACAGGACGGTGATACCGCGGTTCTGTCCAGTGACGGCCTCCTCGCTGAGCAGCACCACTGTGTGACCCGTTCCTGAGGACTGGATGCTGGAGGCTTTGGTTCTGTCCTACAGGCCAGCCCAGCACACCTGAGACCTTTCATGATTGTCTCTCACATAAGTCAATGAAGCAGAACAGGAACAGGTTCTGAACAAGGAAAAACACGTTTTAGAAGATGTGAACCAACATTTCCTTAAAGTGAAACAAGTGAGAACGGTGTGTTTCTAAATCCCATCATGACACAGTGAATGAGCGTTTGATGGCGTGGTTGGTGTTGTTGAGGTCGGTCACGTTGTGCTGTTGGACAGTTCCACCTACAGGCCCGGCAGAGCCCTGTGTGGACGTTCTGTGGGTAGCACCGGTGAGATCTGAATGAGTGAGCTGGATGTAACTGTCTGTCTGTGTTTGCATGTTTCTGGTCTGTCACACCACACGCCTGCTGGCTCACCTGCAGGTGGGTGACATATTAAAGGAAAAACCCAACATCAAGGTCTTTGT